CCCGACAAACACCGGCAGTCGCCCCCATATCTCCATGTGCAGATGTAGCAGCATCAACATTGAATTTTGGTAAAGCCCGGAGGCGGTCTAATCCACAACGTTGTCTGGCCGGCCGTTGGGGTAACCTTATGACAGCAAGTTTAGGGAGATTTAGCACTTCGAGATCAGCAAGAAAACGGCTATGAATAAGGGGGTGTTTGGTTCAGAGACTATTTTAGTCCCAGAGACTAGAAAAGGTCCCTAAAAAGTCCCTAGGAACCAAACGGGAGGGACTTTTTCTACAGGGACTAGAAAAAGACTCTACTGGAGAGTCTTTTTTGATTAGTCCCTGGGACTAGAAAAAGTCCTAGGACTTCTGAACCAAACACCCCCTAAGTGTGTTGACATTGGCACTTGGAACACATGCTCATAAATTGATTTACGGCAGGTGTTGGTCCGAAGGAACACGGCGATAAATACGCTGCTGCCCGGACTGATACTAAGGTCTCCCCGGATACGCTGAGGGGCGTGGGTGAGGGGGGTACCCGATGCCCTTCAAGAAGGAAGGACGGCGCCCACACGCGCCGCATCGATGCCGGCAAAGCCAACAACCCATCGCCCCAACCGATCCGTCGCGCTCCACCAAACTTGTCGCCCACCAACATGCGCAAGCACGGTCTTGGAGTCACCACCGCCGTCTCACCATGAGAAGTGAAGCGGGACCGACGGGTCCTAGAGGGAGCAGCCGGGAACGAGAAGCGGCAGTGTCGGCAGCCACGTGGGAGGGAACAACCTCCACCGTCATCGGCGGTCATCGACCAGACGCAACAAGAGGAGCACACCAGGCACGTAGGCCCGATCGGGCCCGAAATGGCTCGTGAAACTCCTGTCGCCACACTATAGTGGGCGCGCTGCCGTCTCCGCAACCCCCCCCCACACACACACACACGCGCGCGCGCGCGCGCGCGCACCACGAGCCGCACCTCCGTCCGCCGGAGCCATCGCAGGCGGAGCCGAGCCAGGCCGCCCAGACCCAAAAAGGGCCCATATCAGAACCGGGAGGGCGCCGCCGCGCCAGCCAGCCACCGCCCCCGCACCACCCGAAGTTGCGCCGCCCGAGGCATCGCATCGCTGCCGGAACCGTTGTTGCCCGAGGTGTACCGTCGGTCGCCCGCGACGGGAAGGCCCATTTGCAGCCACCGAGAGCCCAAAGTCGGAGCCCAGCTGCCGCGCGTGGCCCGCGTTGCCTGGATCCACATCCTCCGCCCGACTGACGACGATCTGTGTCCAAGCGCGCCGCTCCTTGGCAGCCGTCGTGCCATCACGAGACCCCGTCCCACATGGAAGATGATCTGCCGCCGTCAGGAGCGCCGGGAGCTGCGCCACCAAGCTCCGCTGTAGCCCGGCGCCTCCAGCGGTAGCCGTCCCGCACTGGTCGGGGGTCCGCGAGGAGAGGAAGGAGCGACCCCGCCGCCTCCCACGCCGGCCAGGCTTCGGCCGGCGGCGACTCGGGGCGGCGGCGAGGGAGGAAGAGGCCGGAGGGGAGGGGCTGGGAGGGCAGGCGGCTAGGGTTCCCCGTCCACCCGCGGGAGCGGCGCAGGGAAGGAAGACGGCAGGGGGGAAGGAAAAAAGGTTGTCCTATAAACTACTAGGCATATCGACATATTTTTGTCTCCCCTCCATTTTCTCAGATCTCTCAACTACTACTGGTAGTAGTATATGGTAGTAAGTATGTCTGCACACATGCATGTAAAATAAACTACCCTCCAAAGTAATAACATCCCTCGACGCTATGTTCTAACCACTTCAAGATTCCTCCATATATAATCGCCCCGATAACAATATGAAAACGATTATTCCTCAACGTGATAGGCATTGTCAAATGACATGAAGCTGTTGTCCAGTTTTATTCCCGACTAATCTAGTGATAAATTATGTTACGGCTAGTAGGGATCTGTCATCTACTTCCTACTACCGACCCTTACAAGCTAGGCGTCATGTACTCATGTCCGAAAATATAAATTTGACCACCAAGTTTCAATGCCATAACAAAAACCAATTTCTGGGGGAGGTACTTAATTTATCGAAATAGGCTTCGCCCCGCTATATTTGATATAGCAACCATACCATACATTTGCTGGGGCGAATACCACATCCAGCCCAAACGAGAAACAAGAAGAACAAAAGAGAAAGAAATGCCACCGACGGCAGCTTGATGACATGAAGATGACCCGCCACCGCTGCACGCACCGGAGTCGTCCCACCACATACCAAGCATACCGGAGCGCCGCGTGCCAAGCAACACCTTCAAGAAGGACTGCGACGACAACGACGTTGTTGCTCGGACATGTCCTAGGGTTTTCCCCAGCACGCGGAGGAAGGAGGTGAATGAGATTGCCCGACTCCCTCCAGGAGGGATGGTGGCACCCGCAGGCATCACCTCGTCGGAGTCAGACAAGCCGACAGGGATTTCTCCCACTCCAAGAGCACCACTACCCAACCGCTCCGTAGCCTTCCACCCAATGCGCCACCCACAAGCATGCGCCACCACGGGCTTGGAGCCATCTATGTCGTCTCACTGTGGTCACCATCGCGAGGCCTAGAGGGTGGACAATGGAGCGTCGGGAATCGAAGACAGCAACACCGCGGCCGTGCGGGAGGGAACAACCTCCACCGCCGTCGCGCGAGAGGCCAGTGCCTCAAGCGCCATCGCGGTAGCCGGCCGGACACAGCAACAGAAGGCACACCAGGCCACCCGGGCCCGGCCAGGCCCAGATCGGGCCCGCAAAGCCTCCGGCACCGCGATGCAGCAAGCCAACGATGCGCCGCCACCAACCAGCATCCCGACGCCCCACCGCCACCTCCAGGAAGCATCGCCGCACACACAGGAGCTGCCGCCCCGCCCCGGCACAGATGGAGCTCGACAGGGCCTAGATCTGGGTCGAGCGAGCGCCGCCAGCCGCCGCCGCGGCGAAGCCCGCCGCCAATGGCCGCGCCGCCGCGTTATCGACCACCCACGCTAGTGTCAAGGAGCCCCGCCGCCGCGCCGGACCATCATTGCCTGGGAGCACCACCCGGAGCCGCTCCGCCCCGCGTTGGAGACGCATCGGGAGGGGACTTGCTGCGAGCCGCCGCCACCTGGGCCAAGCCCAGCAGCGCACGCCGGCGACGACGGGGGAGAGAGGGAGGAGGGGGCGCTGGGGAGGAAGGATGGGGGTCATGGCCGGACGCCCGTGGGGGACGGACGCGGTCGCGCGAGAGCAGCCGGAGGTACTTAATTTCCATAAGCCTTTTATTAGATACCAAGATCATCATTCCATAGGATATCGAGAAAGCTAGATTTCCAATATGTAAACTTTAGATACACCCTTTGATACATATTACTTGTCGCAACTTTAATACAACTTTAGGGAGTAACATGAAGGTAGTAGGGTTTATGGCTTAAATTTCACACTGAAATAACTTCAAGAGAGCATGGAGTAACCACATTCTATTGTCGGTCCATGAGATCGGAGAGTCGCTCTGTTGGTATGATGTGCGGGTGTGCATATGCTGCCCACCCACGTTCATATCTCGGGCTTCGTGGATGCTCAAGTTGCTTCGTATATGAAATATGCTGCTAAGGACTAGTTATGGCTGTCTCATCCTATATAGCTAAATAGTTGATCCTCACTAACTTAATTATCTTAACATGCAGCTATATCAACTTATCACACCATCAGTTATGCCCCACTAAATGTAATCCTTTCATCATGCAACTATGCCAACTCACCATGCCATTATCCATGGGAAAAGACTCACCTTAGCAAGCACCATGCATGCGACTCATATTCAATTAGTTTTTACAACTATATAATAATAAAATATAAAAAATTATATGTACTTCGGTTTCAGTTCTCATATTACTAATACAAATTATAGAAATAACTGCATCCAATTCCCGCAGCAGCACGCGGGGTATCATCTCATGTGTTTTTATTGTTCAGCCAACCTATTTTACATGAGTTTTTTATTGTTCAGCCAACCATGTGGTGGACCCGCCATCATCGGCGCACGTGCGGCAATTCCTTCTTGAAGGCATATCCTAGGAGTTGTGTATTTTTGTTTATGTTGTGTCATGTATCATAGTGATTAGTGGCTATCTGGGGGAGGTACTGTCGCGAGGTATACGGCCTCAGGATTTGTTTTCCGATTTATTTCCAGGTCGATGGTGTTCGGCTGCTGGACTTTGCATTATTAATAATATATGGCTCCATGTATCGTGCTGATGCAGAGGCCGGGGGTTATCCTTCTTTTTTAAAAAAATATGATGATGTTGACGTCATGAAACTAACGTTCCAAATGTCGGTGTGTAGTGTCACTTTAAAACTCCCCCACCACGAGGACCCGGGATTGTTAATACAGTTTTGCTAAAACTCATCTAGATAAGATATAAATTGGTCTCATTCATCTTTTATAGCCATTGAATGTGATGCTATAAGATGCGTGCATGCTGACGTGGGTTGTATCTGTTCTTGTTTTCAAAGTTAATGAGACTATATCTCATCTAGATGAGTTCTAGGTACTCCCTTGTTAATATCCTGGCTTCAACGGCTAGCTAGTACACCGGCTTGTAATAGTTTTATTTTCACTTTATTAATCTACAACAACCGCAGAAGCTCGCGTCTCTATTCAGTCTCTCTCTCTCTCTAGCAGGTGGACCTAATATATAAGATACAGTGCAAAGAGAGAAATCTAAGCAAATAAGCTCCAATATAGCACATGTTAACTGGGGGCAGCATGACTGACGCCTCTAACAAATTTTGTAATAAGCAGCACATGATGCCACATCAGCTTTGTACTTCTTTTCAAGGAACGAGGCGGAGAGACGGTCTTCGCCCAGTACAGTACAATGAGCCGGTCTGGCTCCCCCGTTTCTCCTTCCCGTGTTGAGTCTATAAAAAGAGACATATAGGTCCGCCCCTATACATCACAAATTGCCAGACACAAGTGTTCCCAGCGTCAAGCTTGCACCCACTCAAATGGCCGTGACTAGTGCTGACGATGCGGCGAGCAGCCCGAGGATGATCAACGCCGGCAGTGCTGCAACCCGTGGCGCCTTTGCCGCATCGGAGTGGGGCGGTTTCTTCATCACCCACGACCCTCCTCGCCCGCAGGCATGGCATACATATATACTCCTTCCATCTGCAGATCTACCTTTGCTCGTTTTCCATTTTGCCCAACCTCCACTGCAAGTTTAAGAAAAAAACAGTCTTGGGGGTAATTGATTTGTCTATATATATGTTATGGACACTTCCAATTTTGTATATTATCCTTCAAATTTTTTTGAGCCTGCATATCAATTTCTATGTGGGTACCGTGTTGATATATGCAGAGGTCGGAAGAGTGGATGAGGGAGAGGGTGGAGGAGCTAAAGGGGCGAGTCCGCACGATGTTCTCCGACGGCAGTGTGGCTGAGGCGGTGACATTGATGGACACACTTGAGCGTCTCGGCGTGGATGGCCACTTCCGCGAAGAGATTGACTCGGCCATAAGCCGGATCGTTCACCCGGATGAGTCCGCTGGTTTTGATGACCTTCATGTTGTCGCGACTCGGTCTCGGTTGCTTCGGCAGCATGGGATATGGGTGTCCACAGGTAGTTCAATAATCATATTATCCCTTAAGACAATACAAAATTGGAAGTCGTTGCCTAGGTGTTGATTGTTTAACCAACAGAACTGCATAGTGGCCTATCGATCTAAAATTTTCTGTGCGACTTGAACGACCTATACAGAACAGCATATGACTTAGAAGTGGCAAACACCCCTATAATTTTATTATTAATTTCAGTCGAAGAGTGTCCGACGTCCATTTGCCTTCAATCTCCAGTACAATTTCTACCGTGAAGTCAACAGATCGTTTTCCATCATTGAATTTTATATGCAGGCATCTAATGGTTATCTTGTAGAAAAAAATATTTTATTGACCCTTAGCCTCGCTGGTCTGTTAATCTTATTCAGTGTCTTTTGCTTCACATATTCGAATGGTACTTTCACAACTACACTTTTAGAATTTTACTTTGAGACTTGCTTCGGTAAACCCCCTTAAAAGAACTATCGACAATCTTAAAATCACTTAAATATAAGTCATCTCTAACAATCTTCATCCTCAAACTCGGTCTAATTCGGACATTTGGTGCAGATGCGTTGGACAACTTTAGAGATGGCATGGGCAACTTCAAGGCAAGCCTGAGCAGTGACCCGAGGGCTCTACTAAGCTTGTACAACGCAGCTCACATGGCGGTACCGGGTGATGGCCCGGCCCTCGACGATGTCATCAACTTCACACGGCACCAGCTCGAGACCATTGTAGCAAAAGGTGAGCTCCGATCGCCGTTGGCGGAGCAGGTCGCCCGCGCCCTCGACCACCCTCTCCCGCGGTTCACCAGGCTGCTAGAGACCATGTATTACGTTGGTGAGTATGCGCAAGAGGAGACGCATGACAATACGCTGCTGGAGCTTGCTAGGCTCAACTCTCACCTCATGAGGTCTCTTCACCTCAGGGAGCTAAAGGCATTGTCCTTGTAAGTAGGGGTGGGCGTTCGGTTACACCGAACCGTTCGGTTCGGTGCTTCGGTCGCTGGGAATATTCGGTTCTAGGAAATCAAGCACCGATCGGTCAATGGTAATTAGGCTAACCGAGGCTTCGGTCCACCGTTAGAATCGGTTCGGTGTCGGTTTGGACCGAACACACCCAAGAAAGCCCATGGGCTGGGGCGCTGCCCAATGGGCTGGTCGGCTGGAAAAGGAGCTTCCTCTTTTTTCATTTTTTCTAGCGACAGAGACATGTTCAGGCTGGGAAAGAACAAGCAAACAACGGCGTGTTTCTTCAGAGTAGTTTTCTGTGAGTCGGACCCTGCTGCTGCATCGTTTGTCCCCATGGTCTCCTCTGTCGTTGAAGACATCTAGAATACAACGCAAATGTCAATTACCAACGATTCAGAGAGGAAAACTAATCAAAGCACATGTAACCATTGAACTGAACAGTACGCTAATCAAATCACCATTGAACTGAACATGTACGTTGTACACATGTTGGGTGAGGAATTCCGCTGCTGGGTTACTGTGCTTGCAGTAGCCGGCCGCTGTCGTTCTTCCACAGTTCCGCTACCAATTTCCGCCGGACGGCGCCGTCACCTATGGCTAGGGTTCAGAGCTGCGGAAGGGGATGGGGAAACTGATGCAATCCCTATAATATATTGGGATTTCGGCAGGGAACAGATCGAGCGAGACTTGCGGTCTTCGGAGAGGAAGGTATCATCCACGCCGCGATTTTTGGAGACGAGATTTGGGAGGCGGCAAGGACGCATCCCTTCCGCGCTTCGTTGATTTTGGAGGAGGCACAGGCGGGGGCCGGCGACCAGTTTTAGCACGTTTAGGGGCTTCGGTTGCTCGGTTAGTTCGGTTGATAGAGGGCCACGACCGAAATCACCGAACAAAGTTCGGTTTTCCACCAACGCTAACCGAGCATGGTACCGAGAATTTTGGTGTTGGTCAGTTCGGCTTCGGTGCAGGTTAATATGGTTCGGTTGATCGGTTCTCGGTTTATATGCCCACCCCTACTTGTAAGTCCTTTCTTTTGCTTTTGTGATTAAATTGCATATCTTAGTTCCACGCAAAAAATTGCATATCTTAGTACCTCGCACTTCATTAAAATCCTTATGATCTTCACCAAACTATGCACACAGCAAATATGCATAAGATCGTGAGTGTACATTCAATTGGTAATTTAAGTAATAAACCTCTCCAGGTGGTGGAGGGATCTTTACGACACGGTGAATCTACCGTACACTCGAGACCGTATGGTGGAGGTCTACTTTTGGAGTTGCGGAATGATCCCTGAGGAGGAACACTCACGCGCACGATTGATGTTCGCCAAGACGTTTGGGTTGGTGACTTTTCTTGACGATACCTATGATGTCCATGCCACCTTAGAGGAATGTCGTAGTTTCACCAAAGCCATGCAGAGGTACTTACACAGGGTGTAATTCAATTATTTTCAAGAAAGTATGAGGTATCTTTTCCTTTCATAATTCTAATACAAGCTTTAATTCGATCTCTCATTAAGGCAAACACATCTTTTTTGTTTTCTTACAGATGGGACGATAGCGCGGTTTCTATTCTACCTGAATACCTTCGCATGCTGTACATCAAAACGCTAAGCACCTTCAAAGATTTTGAGAATATGTTAAAACCGCACGAGAAGTACCGCATGTCTTATGCAAAAAAAGTGGTATGTTGTAATTTGCGTGCACCAATTTAAATATTTAAATTGCTCCTTGAGGAATTTCTATCTCTCTCATATATGGACTTTGCTTAATTTTACCTTGAACAATTTAATCTCTCATTTAAGCTCCTAAACTGTACTTTCTAGTTCTCATAAGTGTAGTTTAGGGAGTAAAATAAACATATGTGTAGTTTAAAGGCTTAGGTGAGACCAATAATTGATTTCAGAAAAAGTAAATTAAGCAAAGAACTAAAATAAGACAACACGGTAATCGTGTGTTTTAAATTATTGTGTACGCAGTACCAACTACAGGCGGAATACTATATGCAAGAGGCCCAATGGTCCAACGACAAGCACCAGCCGACCTTCAAGGAACACGAGGAGCTGTCGGTCATGTCTTCGGGCTTGCCGATGCTTAACCTCGTGGCCCTCATGGGCTACGGCGCCATAGTAACCAAGAAGGTATTCGAGTGGACATGCGCCGTCCCCGACGTAGTCCGTGCCGGTGCACAGATCGGCCGCTTCCTCAACGACATTTCCTCTTACAAGGTACTCCTACTCCTATACATATGTGAATTACTGTTGCATTTCTGTCAAAAAGTTAATCAAAACATGATAGAATGTACTGTCATATCAACCGACATCACCGATGTACATGCAGTTGGGGGAAGAAGGACGTGGCTAGCGTCGTGGAGTGCTATATGGTGGAGAAGGACACGACAGGGGAGGAGGCAGTGGCGGCAATCGCCGCCATGACGGAGAATAGTTGGAGGACGATGAACCAGGCATGCATGGTGATGGACCGTGCGTTATTGCCAGCGGCGCAACTGGTGGTGAACATAGCAAGGTCGAACGAGGTCATCTACCTCCACGGTAGGGATGGTTACACCTTCGGTAGCCACGTCAAGGACCTTGTCTTGTCACCATGCTCTTCCTCGCCCCCTTTAAGCCGGCGGTTGCAACTTACGCGTAATCCTGAATTGAGCTATGCATTTATTCATTATAGATATGCTAGTCTGAGTTATGTGGAGAGCGCGGAGCAACTACTACTACACTTTTGTCGCCCTGTTGAACTTTTATGATATCAGTTGAAGCCTTGAAGGCATCTCTCGTGTACTACCAGGATGTGTTATTTGCACTCTTTTCGTTCTCTTTGTAAAGCTTGTTTATAGGTGTGGATATGTCACTATTATATCACTTGCTCATATAGTAGATTATAACAGGTACACACATCAAGTAGAGGTAAGATCATCTCCAGCCGTTCGGCCCCCAAGGGGCTGAAATAGCGCCTCCTGGGGGCTAATCGACGATATATTCACCATGGAGGCGCTCGGGTTCCCAACCGCCGCCTCAAGGTGGCACCCAAACGCCATTTTTCAAATGCAAATTCAAAGAAAATGGCTAGATTTTAGACGAAATTTAGGCAGTTTCATTGATATTTATACCAATTTAAAGACATACATAAAAACTTAAAAAAACTACGCCTCTCAGAGCCTAGTTCACGCCGAGGAGCTGGTAGAAGGCGGTGTAGTCGTCGCCGTTGTCCTGCACGCCGTCGTCCTTGTTGCAGCCCTGCCCTGGATCGCCGCTGCGCACGGGGTTGGTCGGCGCCGGCGCCTCCTCGTCGCTGTCGGAGAGGACGATGATGTCGCCCTCCTCGTGGCCGCGGCGCTGCTCGGTGATATCCTCTAGAGCACGGTGCTGCTCGGCGGTATCCTCCAGAGTGCGGCACTGGCGCTCCATCTCCTCGCGCACGTAGTCATCGCGCACCATTTCAGGCCGGTGTCGAGGTTGGTGGCCATCTCCACATGTTCTTGCTTGACGACCGCGGGCGTCACCGGCTCCGGCTCCTTCGGCCTGACCAGGCGAAGATGGCCGCGGGGAGGTGAAGGTTGGCGGCGGCCCTCGTTTATGATGAGGTTGCCGTCGCGGCTGCATCGGCGCTCCGACGTCTCCTGGGGCTCGGGCTTGACGGCGGCGAGCGGCGTCGTGCCGGAGGACGAGAAGGACGACCCCGCCATGCGCCTCGGCAGCCACGAGCTCCCTCTCCGGCGCGAGAACGACGGAGCCGGATACTCCAACGCCGGCTCGTTGCCGCCCTCGATGTGCTCGAGGACGGCGTGGAGCGTGCGCCCTGGGACGCCCCACCACTGACGGCGGCCGTCGGAGTTGTGGCGCCCTCTTGTCGCCGGAGCACCGTTGGTGGAAGCAAGCGGGTCGGCGTGGCGGCGCTAGAAATACGTCGTCCACAGAGGGGGGTTGTCGGGGGAATACTTCGGCAACTGTCACACTTCCTCCGGCAAGGACGCTCGGATCCGCGCGATCTCGTCGCGGTGTTCCGTGTCGAAGAGCGGCGGGGGCACGGGGACGCCTCCGGCGCTGAGCCTCCAAGCGCCCGGCACGCGCATGTCGGGCGACGCTGGGTAGTTGGCCTCGTGGAGAACGCGTGCCTCCCACTCGTGCAGCGACCGACGGCCGAAACCGTTGGCCGCCGCTTCGTCACCGTGGAACCTCTCTGTCATGGGCTCGGGCTTGATGGTGAAGGAGAGAGGGCGAGAACAAGGACGGCGATCGAGAGAAGGTGTTGGGCGCTGGAGGTAGGCAAGAGAGATGGCGTGTGCGGCCAGCAGTGACGAAGGGCTGCTTTTATAGCGGTGAGGGGACTGCAGCAGTGTGGACGCGTGGCGGAAAAGTGCGGGACGCGCGGTGGCTCGCCATCACTACGCCACCCGTGATCAATTGAAGGCTGACCGGCGGCAGCCTTGGCATTGATTCGTGCAGGAGCCGAGGCGATGAGATGACGACGATACCTAGTCGCTGACTCGGCGGGCCTAACCGAGGAAATTTGGGCTCCTGGGGGGCTGTTGGGGGAGGGGGCGGGGGGCGGCTGGAGATGCTCTAAAAACACACTGTTTCCAATATGAAGATGATCTAGGTAGGCCACATCAAATGGTTTTTGGGGGCCGGAAGGTGTTGGGGAACGTAGTAATTTCAAAAAAATTCCTACGTACACGCAAGATCATGGTGATGGCATAGCAACGAGAGGGGAGAGTGTTGTCCACGTACCCTCGTAGACCGTAAGCGGAAGCGTTAGCACAACGCGGTTGATGTAGTCGTACGTCTTCCGACCAATCCAAGTACCGAACGTACGGCACCTCCGAGTTCAGCACACGTTCAGCTCGATGACGATCCCCGGGCTCCGATCCAGCAAAGCTTCGGGGATGAGTTTCGTCAGCACGACGGTGTGGTGACGATGATGATGCTCTACCGGCGCAGGGCTTCGCCTAAACTCTGCGACGATATGACCGAGGTGGAATATGGTGGAGGGGGGCACCGCACACGGCTAAGGAACGATCCGTAGATCAACTTGTGTGTCTATGGGGTGCCCCCCGCCCCCGTATATAAAGGAGCCAGGGGGGAGGCGGCCGGCCAAGGAGGGCGCGCCAAGGGGAGAGTCCTACTCCCACCGGGAGTAGGACTCCCTTCTTTCCTAGTTGGAATAGGATAAGGGGGGAAAGAGGAGGAAGAGGGGAAGGAAAGGGGGGGGGGGCGCCGCCCCCCTTCCCTTGTCCTATTCGGACTAGGAAGGGGAGGGGCGCGCGGCCCCCTCCTGCCTCCTTCCCTCTTCTCCCTCGAGGCCCATGTAGGCCCAATAACCCCCCGGGGGGTTCCGGTAACCTCCCGGTACTCCGGTAAAATGTCGATTTCACCCGGAACGATTCCGATGTCCAAATATAGGCTTCCAATATATCGATCTTTATGTCTCGACCATTTCGAGACTCCTCGTTACGTCCGTGATCACATCCGGGACTCCGAACAAACTTCGGTACATCAAAACTTATAAACTCATAATAAAACTGTCATCGAAACGTTAAGCGTGCGGACCCTACGGGTTCGAGAACTATGTAGACATGACCTAGAACTATTCTCGGTCAATAACCAATAGCGGAACCTGGATGCCCATATTGGTTCCTACATATTCTACGAAGATCTTTATCGGTCAAACCGCATAACAACATACGTTGTTTCCTTTGTCATCGGTATGTTACTTGTCCGAGATTTGATCGTCGGTATCCAATACCTAGTTCAATCTCGTTATCGGCAAATCTCTTTACTCGTTCCGTAATGCATCATCCCGTAACCAACTCATTTGGTCACATTGCTTGCAAGGCTTATAATGATGTGCATTACCGAGAGGGCCCAGAGATACCTCTCCGACAATCGGGGTGACAAAACCTAATCTTGAAATACGCCAACTCAACATGTACGTTCGGAGACACCTGTAGTACTCCTTTATAATCACCTAGTTACGTTGTGACGTTTGGTAGTACCCAAAGTGTTCCTCCGGTAAACGGGAGTTGCATAATTCTCATAGTTACAGGAACATGTATAAGTCATGAAAAAAGCAATAGCAATATACTAAACGATCAAGTGCTAGGCTAACGGAATGGGTCATGTCAATCACATCATTCTCCTAATGATGTGATCCCATTAATCAAATGACAACACATGTCTATGGTTAGGAAACATAACCATCTTTGATTAATGAGCTAGTCAAGTAGAGGCATACTAGTGACTGTATGTTTGTCTATGTATTCACACATGTATCATGTTTCCGGTTAATACAATTCTAGCATGAATAATAAACATTTATCATGATATGAGGAAATAAATAATAACTTTATTATTGCCTCTAGGGCATATTTCCTTCAGAAAGGGCACGGAACTTATATTTGATACAAACCCTAGGGCTGTCATCGGTCTTTTTTTTAACAGAGAGAGGCGCCGGAGGCGCCAATATTCCATTCATCTCATAGACATTGTACAACAGTGATTACATAGCCCTGCGAGCAAAGAGTTTGGAAGATGGACTCAACTGGACAACGGCTATTTCTATTAGAAGAATTGGTGCAACTAAAGATAGGCCTAGACAAAGATTGTCTAATTGCCTGATGAGCACAGTTACGCGCTACCCCATTTATATCTCTTTTAATATGATACACTGCATGGGATAGAAATACTATTTTTTGGAAATCTGCAATTTGCACTCTAATCTCCCAAGGGACCTGTGGATTCTGTAAAGAGGAGGCCACAACTTCTTTTGCTGGTCTCAAGTTGTCTGTTAAGAATGTGACTTGTTGGATCTGCAGTAAGCTGGCCACCTTCCCTGCTAAGCTGAGAGCTGCAGCTTCAGCTTGTAAGACAGTTGGAGTAACCGACATGGAGGCTTGTATCAACACAGTATCAATGTGATGCAAATTCTGAAGTTTACAATACACTCCTATTCATGTCGCCTCTTGTGCTTGAGATCCTAGAATTTTCTTGATTTTCCATGCTGCATCCGAGAAGATCTTGGGACCTGCAATTTGTAGATCAGACTTGAGTGTTTCCCCTTGCTCTGAAACAAAAGGTGCTCCTTGTTCATCAACCTGCAAAGCGGAAAAGGCAGTAGTAATGTTGTTGCGCGGTTTTAGTTGTTGCTGCAGCGCCAACTGAGGCATGTCCAACATCTCCATATTTTGTCTAATTGCTTGTGCCATGTGATGAACTTGGTGTGGGCTGCCTGGCTTCCTATCAAAAAGATTGTCATTCCTGGATTTCCGTATGCACCACATAAAGGTAAGGATGTTTGGCAAGGATGCATGTCGATGATTCATATTTAGGAACGTTATAAAAAGCTGAGTGAGAGAGTTACAGTTTAGAACTAGAATATCAGAACGGATAAACCAAGGAGCAGTGAACCAAGCGGCTCTAGCAAAATTGCATGTAAAGAATAAATGAATATCATCCTCTTCCATGCCGCATCTAGAGTATAGTTTACTGATGTGTTTAGAGTCTTCCCTACTCTTGCCCCTGTTGGCATTACCTTCCTTAGTAATCTCCATCCAAAGGCCTGGACTCGTGGAGTTATTTGTCTGTTTTTCCAAATTTGATTCAGCAGCTGTATAGTGTGAGGATGCACCTGTCGCGGTCTTGGCTCTCCATGTTCCTGCAAATATTGAAGGCATGCACGGTATGCACTTTTAGAATTGCATTTACCCGACGGCGTTAATTTCCAATAGAGGATGTCTTTCTCCTGAGATTGAATAATGTCCGTGCTCTTGATAATGGAAGCCATGGGTTGTTGGAACGGTGCGTCAATTAGCTGATTGTCCCATGCTTTCTGATTTGGAATACAAAGATCCTTAACTTGGGTTGGGTAAGAAAAAACTCCAGGTTGAATTATGAGTGCTTCATAGATGTGGGTCCAATTTTGGCACCATGGTGTACTCCAAATTGAGATGCAGCCTTGGGTGATTTGGTAAAAGCAGTGAGCTATAAGTATGGGAAGAACCTTAATAATGGAGGCCCAAAAGGCTGATTTGGGAGCATTTGGATTTGGGCGCCAAATGGAAGAGTCTGGGAAGTATTTGGATTTGAGTACAGCATGTAAGAAATCATTTGGTTGATCAGCAATCCTCCAAGCTGCCATAAGAATGAGGCACTGATTCATTGGTTGTAGATTTCTTATACCAAGCCCGCCCTCAATGTTTGGAGTACAAATGTCTTTCCAAGCTCTCACGCAAAGGCTCCTAGAATTTGTATCTTCTCTTATACCAGTCCACCAGAAGTTCCTAATAACAGCAGTGAGCTTGGCAATAAACTTTTTGGTGAAAAGTATGTTGGACATATAGTAAACTGGAATGGAGGAGCAAACAGATTTGATGAGCTCAAGCCTTGCAACATGAGAAAGTTTATCGGCCTTATACGTTGTGAGCTTGGATTTGAATTTATCAAGCACGAAGTTGTAGGCTATTGTTCTATCCTTACCCGGGAGGGTGAGAGGATGCCCAAGATGAATGAAGTTGTTGTCAATGGTTGGCACCTGGAAAATCTGATTGATTAATTGACATTCTTTAGGATGAACATGTTTACTGAAGATTATCCCAGATTTACTCCAATTTGGAGTCTGGCCCGAGCGTATGCAGAAATCATGCAAGACCTCCTTCATTCTAGTTGCTTCTTGTACTGTAGCCTTTCCACAAACAAGTAGATCATCTGCAAAAAGGAGAGAGTGGATAGCGGGGCAATTTGGTCCCAGAGTTATACCTTCAAAATAGGTAGCTGCCATGGCCTCTTGTAGACCAATTGAAAGTTCATTGATTGCTAGCAAAAAGGTATGGGGATAGGGGACAACCTTGTCGAATACCTCTGTCTCCTCTGAATCTCGTAAACGGTTGACCATTAATGACAACAGAAAAAGTCGGCGAAGAAACACACGAGTGGACTAAATTAATAAAATGGCCATGCAACCCTTTACGTGCAAGAGCAGCAACAATGAAATTCCACTCAAGTCTATCAAAAGCTTTGGCAAGATCTATTTTGAGCATAAAAGATTTATTCTTCCAAGAAGAAAGAGCAAAAGAATGCGTTATCTCTTCTGCTATGATGATGTTACTGCTAATACGCCTACCCTCAATGAAAGCTTGCTGAGAAGGATGAACATAATCCGGCAAGTGAGGTTTCAGTCTATTGGCAAGGCATTTTGCAATAATTTTGTAGATGACATTGCAAAGACTAATGGGCCTATAATCTGTCGGCACTAAAGGAACAAGCTTTTTTAGGAATCAGAACAATGTGAGTATCATTTATATGTGCTGGCATTATACCTGTTTGGAAGAAATTCCTTACCAGCTGCACGACATCTTGCCCGATCCACACTCAGGTTGCAATGTAGAATTCTACATTAAATCCATCAGGCCCTGGCGATGCGTTTCTTTTCATACCCTTGAGAGTGTCCAAAATCTCCTCTTCATCTGGAATAGAATATGTGTAGTCCTGTGTTTGTTGGGGAAATTGAACATTGAAGAAGGGCCTGCCATTGTTAGTTTGAGTGGATGCAAAAATAGATCTGAAGTAATTGACAAATGTATTACTGATTTTGTCCGGCATGTGCTGTATAACATCATTTTCATCTTTGACTGAAGCAATGGTATTCCTTCTTCTTCTTTTGATGATAGCACGATGGAAGAAGGAAGTGTTCCTGTCTCCATCTTTGATCCACTGTTTTTTCGCTCTCTGCATGTAGGAATCCGTTAGTTTTGTCATTGTTTGCTCATACCTTTAACTAATGATGCCTCCAAAGCATGGTTAATTCTATTTGAGAAGGATTTATTTCTTGAAGAAAGCCAAACTGATCTTGCATGGTTTAGGAAAGCTTGTTCTTTAAGCCACCAATTTTCAAACTTAAAAGAGCGTTTTATATTACAAGTGCGATCTACTGTGGACAGCAAGATTGCAGCATGATCACTCAGATTGTGGATAATAGGCATGTTGTAAAGGTATTACCAAGCATCACACCATTCAGCATTTACCAAGCATCTTTCCAATCTTTCAAAAGTGGGTTTAGGAGCAAATCTTTTATTTGTCCAAGTGTATGCTGGACCACTGAAACCCAAATCAAAGAGACCGCATTGTTTCACTAAAGCACGAAAACCATACATGCGAGAGCGATTTATATTTTGCAGAAAAACCCCGCAAGAAGTAGGATAATGGAGACAGGTGGGCGAAGTAGCAGAAGAAGTGTTCAAAGCAGCACATGGGTGGCGGCTGGAAACTAGAAGAATCGTGGGGTGCGCGTCTTCAAGTTCCTCTGGTTCCCCGCCTTCCTCCTTGACTGACGGATGCTTATGAAGCTTCATCGACCTTCCCTGTGCTCATCTATTTCCAAGTCTTTTGCTATCTGGCTGAATAAAAATGTATGATGTAAGGATACTTATTAGATGGCAGCTGATGCCTCGCATGCTAGGGGCCTAAGAAACTTGTGATGGTATGTTTGTAACTGGGACTTGCTTCTAGGCCCAGCCTTTGATCTCTCGAGGCTCTGCATTGGGGGATAAATGGGGGAAGGGATGGCTTCCCCCTCTTCCTCAATGGCATCCTTTAGAGAATGCTTGCTAGTAGTTTCTCTTCCTTTTCTTTTCTGTAAGACTTCGTGATTTCTATTAATGGAAATCGGAGAGCCAAGCTCTCTTTTATCAAAAAAAAAAATGTCCCCTATACATAGCATGGGTAAACTGGAGTTATTATAGGCAAAAGCAGCCACCTCACTCCAGATTTGACAAGTTTGACGATGATACGGATCACCATAGATACACACTAAGCCAAACTTCAGATTGCTAGTACTATGTACAGGAGTAGCTAAGATAACATGGAAGCTAGCACTATGAACATGAACTTGCAGATCATCATTCCACATTAGCCAAAGCCCACCGGAGCGACATCGAGAGGGAACCACTAAAGCTTCATTCATGTTGAATCTAGCATATACTCCCTCCGTTCCCAAATACTTGTCTTTCTAGGCGTTTCAAATGGACTTAACATACGGATGTATGTAGACATATTTTAAAGTGTAGATTCACTCATTTTGCGCCGTATGTAGTCACTTGTTGAGATCTCTAGAAAGACAAGTATTTAGGAACGGAGGGAGTAGATCAAAAGATTTTACCTTTGTCGATTTAATTTCAGAAACAAAAATTATCTAAGGTTTCGCAGAATGGATCATCCTGGCAAGAAAGGCCATCTTCTCACTCAAGGTCCAGCTAGCTATTCTGTTCCCTTGTCAAAAAAAAAACTATTCTGTTCCCCCAATGCCTTCATGCGCCTTTGAGGAGTGGATGTGCTAAGACAAGGGCATAAACAGCTGATCTGTATTGATGCTTCAACAGCAGGCTAGGATTTTAAGAGCTTGCATCCAGCGGAATCGCAGAGCACAGCTGGTCAATCATCCACACAGCAGCAAGAAGAGGGGGGATTTGGGGATCTTTGGTTCGTGGGTCCTAGAGAAAAGAGGGGATTCTGTTGGGGGAGTAGCAGATCGAGAGTGTGAAGCAATTAGCCAGGGCGAGAAAAAGCAACGGATCCGAATTTGGGAAAGATTAGAGAAATCTACTCCCTCCGTTTGGAATTAGTTGTTGCAGAAATGGATGTACAAATAATTCCGAACGGAGGGAGTAGGAAGAAGAGAAGGAATCAGCACGGAGGGCAAAGTCTGGAAACTTCCTACTCTAGATGCGGGATGCCTCCAGGCTGTCGTCCGCCTAATTGTTTGTTGAACAACAAATTCTGAACGATTTTCTAACGATGCAGCACATAAAGCCGTCTATGCGTAGAGCAAAACTGGACAGCACCGTTCAATCCTCCATCATTATAGCAGTATAACATTCAACATATACTCCCTCCGTCCCAAAAAACTTGTCATCAAAATTGACAAAAATGAATGTATCTAGAACTAAAATACATCTAGATACATCCCCTTTTATCCATTTTGAGATACATCCCCTTTTATCCATTTTGATAACAAGTATTTCCGGACCGAGGGAGTATGATCCAAACGTAGTATGTCTCAATAAACGAAAATGCAATAGTGAACTTGCAGCAAATGAAACAGGCATGTTTAACCACCAAATCAGCAAGCAAACATATGTCAACAGAGGAAACGCTGGAAATAACATCTAGTGTCGCCAAACGTTTCAGTAGAACAAGTAAAGGCTTCAGAATCCGCAGCAGAGCCGGAGACAGTAACATTATGAAAGATACATCGCTTCCATTCAGCAACTAGCCAACTGGGGCAAGCAAACATTGCCGTCACAGAGTCCAGTGAAAATGCCAATCAGGTTCTGAGGCATTTTAACAACTTACACGAGTTGCTTCCCGTCTCTGGGTTCAGCAGAGTTCGCACGATGATCATGATGGTGATGGTGGTGGCGGCGGTGGTGCCGGCTTTTGTGAGACCCCTTGCCATCATTCATCTTGTCTGGCTCACCAGCAGCACCATCATCCAAGGACATAGAGCGGCTCCTGTGGCGCTTATGGTTGTCAGAATCTGACGGCTTGTCCTCGTCACTTGATCTGTGATGACGCTTCCTATGCCTCGACCTGATCTTCTCCTCAGATTCATCGTCTGAGGACCGGTGGCGACGCCTCCGGCTCCTAGAATGGTCCTTCCTGGTTGACCTTCGCTCATCATCATCGCTGCTGTAATCTGAGGCGTCAGACTCTGACCTTGAAGAGTGTCGGCGATGCTTCCTCCTGTGCGAGTGCTTCTTCCTTCGGCGCTCTTCTTCAGATTCGCCATCATATTCATCACTGTCGCTCTCGTCGCTAGAGCCCGAGCTCCTCCTCTTTGACCTGTGCTTGCGCCTCCTGGCACCATCAGAGTCAGAATGGCCATGTCTTTTGTGCCTTTTGCGGTCCTTCCTCTTCCTGTGTTTCCGATCACTGTCGCTCTCGGATTCACTGTCAGATTCTGAGGAAGAATAGCTTCGTCTCCTGTGCTTTTTCGACTTGAGCTTCTTCTCCTTTTCTTCAGTGGCCTTGATTGCTGCTTCCAGTTTCTGCTGCCATTTCAGAGGGGCTTCCTTCTTCTCGAGGAGTCTCTTCTTCTTGTCTTCGACCATCTGCAGGAACTTCTTGGCATCCATCCCAGCGAAACAGACAAAAGCTCAAAACCTGCAGGGCCGTGAAATGATGCAAGGAAGTGCATCTCATAGAAGAGAGAAAAACACTGTTAGTTTACTGAACATCTAGGATTATCTAGCATGCTAGAGAAGAAGTGCGTAAATCAAATCAGTAAGTAGAACAAATAGCTTTAGGCAACTCAAACAAATACTATATTTTGGCAACCAAGTGACATTTAATATCAGGCATTTCAAAGCATAGTGAAGGTAATCCTTACAAGCAACAAACACTGGACAGAGCTTGGCATGTCTAAGAAAAGATTAACACCAAAGTAGCACTAAACTGATACATGGTATCCGCTTCACCCCAAAACAGTAGCTTAAAGGTTCCAAACTGCTAAGCATTCAGATCCTACCAAAAACATATACTGCTCTGGTAACTATACACAAACAAACTAATTAACCTGACACATGTGGCAAGGTCTGTTGATTGTTACGCATAGTTGCATGAGTTTAAAATTCGAATGTAATCCCAATTCTCAGACTGTAAAAGGAAATAAATTAAGGGACTACACTACAAATATTTTCTTTCCCTGAAGCAAAATGCTTAAAATCAGCAAACACAGGTGACCATGAGAAAGTGAGAGTCGTTTAAACCGAAGGCAACACCAAGATAGTACCAAACTGATTCATGTAATCCACTTTAATGTCAAAACAGTAGCTTAAAGATTCATAACTGTTAAACATTCAGAGCATACAGAAATATGTGAGCCAAATTTTATTCTGCGTCCCTAGTAACAACTCACAATAATAACAAGTAAACCTATTACGTGATGAAGCTTGCTAGTGGTTACTGGTCCATGGAATGAGGCCTTCTTACTATCACGTCAGTTTAAACTTGAATGAGATTCCAGTTCTTAACCTTCAAAGTTTGGAGATCTTAAAGGAAGCTAAGAATCTTTTTTTTTCGCCATATCTTATTCTCAAAGACCACACAGCAGAACAACAATCCAATCTTTCGCCAGCAGTTCAAACAAACCAAACAAAGCAAGCGCTGACTACCACCAGGCGGCTAGTAGGAATAACTGCAGCTGGCACTACCACAAGTACAGCGCACGCATGCATGACTCAGCCACGCATAAGCACTAACAGATCCAATGATTGCAGTAGGTGGAGACATATTATACACTTTCTTACCTTGTCCTGAATTTCAGGCCACCAGCGAAAAGTCGTTCCTCCTCTTTCCTCAGCCCCAAATTCGCCTGCAATAACCACAATTCCGGTCAGGGTAAATTCTCAGGTCAAGGTAAATTGCCTCCCCACAAAGACTCTTCTAGGGAAAACCTAATCTATCCGCAATTCCGGATAACAATTCATGAGGCCACGAAATTTCGCACCAAAACCCCGTAACAATCCACGAGGCGCGACAGATCTAAAGTCGCGGCCGGCGGCGAAACCACGGTAGAATGAATCGCGACGAACTTGGGCAACGGCGTTTCGAAAATCGAACGCCGAAAGGGCGCAAAGAAGGTCGTCCTCTCGGCCCTGCCCGTCCGGATCTGGACCCCTAGGACGCCCGCGCGGCGCGATCTAGAGCCCTAGCGGCCGCGGCGCCGGGAGGGCCTACAATTTTCCCACGGAAATTGAAGAAATAGCGACCTACTGAATTTGCCAGAAGAACGCAGGGGGAGCGTAGCGAGTCACCGAATTGAACGGAGATGCGCGGGCGGTGGCGGTGGCGGCGCTGGCCGGTCGCCGCCTCGGCGAGGAAGAGGATAGGAGGAGGAGGAGTGCGACTTGGCTTTGGGTTTGGGCGTGGCGTTCGGGTTGGGCTGGGGGAGGCGGCTTGCCCGTGGGACGGACCCGGCGATATATGGGCGGTCGGTCTCCGGTGCCACGCTGAGTCGCTGACTGACTGGTGGGTCCGAACGCGTTTCAAGTCGGCTCACGTCTTTGCTGCCGGAAAAGACCCGCAGCCCTCCGATCCGTTGGATGGATTCGCGCGTTACGAGCCGTCCGATCGGCGGTACAATTTTTTTTATTTTCAATTTTTTTTTTTGCTAGTAAAAGAGCTTTATTGCTAACTAATCGGCGGTACAATTTGAAACATAGGCTATGCCGTGCTTGCCGTTCAGTGCGCAGGATGTTTGCGTGCCCACACACACAAAAAAACAAAAGGCATGTTGTATGAACCATGTTGTGGTCAACTTTGGCTTTGCGTATTTCCGCAAAAAAAAAAAAAAAAAAAATTGGCTTTGCGTAATGTTGCAAACACGTGGGCCTGCCTTCATGAACCATAGGTCGCGCGGGAGAGGGGGGCAGGTTGTGCAGACGGCATCGGTTGGAAGGTGCACGAGAGACAGATGAGACCAAGAAAGGGACGGCGGCGTGCAGGGGAGTTGTGCGGGAGCCACAAGGCATGAGCCGTGTGTGTGTGTGTGGAAGGAAAAATTGCTATCACTAGGAGGTAAAGAAATCCATTAATTGGTAGCTTGTGGAAGACGTGCATACCAAAAGGAAGGGAGGTATGAGTTTTCATGACTAATATTGTTTCGGTTTAGCGACGCTGGCGTAACAGGTTTGGAGATTGATGAAGAACTCATATCACTCTGTGCAGGAGTCCTTCGCGCCAAATACTACCCTTGTGGGAATTTGCTCAACGTGGCAAAGTATCTTGGCAGGAATACAATGTTTCTGGAGGGCTTATGTATGGAGAGTTGGAGATGGTACTCAATTTCATGTCTACGATGATGCCATGATCCCAGCAAGTGCGACAAACAAAGTGATGACACCGAGAGATGCAAAATCTTACCTCAAAGATGAACGACCTTGTAAACCCAGTGAATTAATAGTGGGATGAGAAGCTAATTCAAGCTATATTTGGTCGATTGATCCAAGTGGACTACTACAAATTGCAATAGCACAATCAGGCAAGGAGGATGTTGTGGCATGAAAGTATACTAGAACAGGAATGTTTCCAACTAACGATCCATCGAGCTGTTGCATTCACGGGCTACAAGCCATCCGATCATCTATTTAGTGCGGCCCAGCGGTTGGCAGCATAGGCCATATTGCGCTCTTCGTTTGCAACATAGACCATATTGTGCTCATTGATCTGGGTCACGTCATCTGGTCTAGTCGTAGGTGTACGCTTTCAACATGGACCATGCGGCAGTCATCTCCAGCTTGCATAATGTTGCGAATACATGGACCTTTAGTCACCAATTGCAACATGGACCATGTTGCAGACACATTTAGCAACGCCGACGATGATAACACCAATCAGTCAGCTCGACGCGGCTCCACCTCTAGCTTATAACATCCCCGCGGGGAGCGGCAATGCCGTCGTGGGGATGGGAGGAGGAGGTGACAGAGGGAACTTGCAGACATGGAGTCGGTCGGCTCCATGCCAATGAGAGTATAAGGTGGAGGGAGAGTTGTGTGGGGCCCACAAGTCACGTGTCGCGTGTTGCAGGGGTGCTCTTTGCGGGAGTTTCAACAGCCCCTAAACACGATGTCTCCGTTCCTTCTCTTTGAGAAATCTACCTCAGAGCTCCGCCTCGTCTCCCTTCCTTCTCTTTGAGAAATCAACTCACACAAATTTAGTTTTCAGGTAACTTAGAAATAGCTCACGCATACATCAAACAACATTTTTTTTATCCATGCTGAGTAAATTGCATAAAACCACCACATTGAGGGCTAGCTTTGCGAAAAACACTAGGGTACAGAATCATTGCAGAAAGCACCACGTCTAGCGTAATTGTTTTGCAGAAACCACTGATCGGCGGATCGGGCTGAATTAAGTGAGTTTATGACAGGTGGGGCCCGTTTTTCGCGTACGTGGCACTCCAGGCCGTCCCGACAGCCGGCGGACGGCGTTAGACGGCGCCGTTCGGTCCTAGCAGTCAAAAGCACCAACCGTTACTCCTTCTCCACTCGAGTCTCTCTCCACTCTGCTCGCTCGCTCTCTTCTCGCTCTCGCTCTCGCTCTGTTCTTGGTCGCCACACCGGTCGCCGCCGCGCCGCACCGCTGCCGCAGCGCCATGGTGTCGTGGAGTGATGGGTCGGATAGCAGCGAGCACACCGGGCAGTACATGAGCTCAGATTCCGATGACGGCACCATTAAGGTCAGTTCTCAGAGTTAGGGTTAGGGTTTGATATTTGGGGAATTCTGGAATGAGCTTCTTTCAATCATTGGACCAAATCTATGTCATTCCTTTGCACTCTCAGGTTCCTGCTAACACCGAAGACTCGGATTTCGAGGGCCCTGAGACAGATGTGTATGTTTTATGCCATGGACATGGGAAGGCAGCAGAAAGGCGTGTTGCTTTCGAAGGGATTCACACTGGCAGGAGGTTTCTTTGTTGTGCATAGAAGGTATGGTTCCAACTTAACTAATTGGAAGTTGTTGATTTACTTAACAGATCTATCATTTGTTTGCCATGGACATGTAATGTGGCACTCCAGCATGCATTGTATTATAATGTGAAGTTTGGACAGTGGATTCATTAATTGTTTACTCTGCCAGCATTGTTTAGTCTGGTTCTGGCAACATTGTTTAGTTAGGTCATTTTGTTAACTCTGTCAGGTTAGCATATTTTAATAGAGTAGATGCATGGGTTGGTAGACCAGCATTTTTTAGTTTGGATCTGGCAATATTGTTTAGTTAGGTCATTTTTTAGGACAGAATATTCATGGGTTAGCACACCAGCATTGTTTACTTAGTGGTTGTTTACTTTAGAGCATGATCTGAATTTTAGTATAAAGTAATCTAGCCTATCATTGTAAGCAAGTCACTGTTATGTAATTCATTTTGTTAATACTCTTTTCCCAGGAAGGTAAAAACTGTAGACTAGTAGAATGGATTGATCCATCTTGGCCCACTACCCTTGAGAATGCATTGTCCAAGTTGTGGTCTATGTATGAACAGAGTAAGATGGACAGGAATGAGGAATGTCTGATGCATTCATTTACTGTTCATGACCTCACACAAGAGAAGAAGAAACTCTAGGACAGCTATGAGA